ATGCCAGATTGATATAAGGTTTTTTACTATTTAAATTAGTATTTACTTTATAATGGTGCCAGCAAATGAAACAAATCCCTATAATAATGATGTCATCCTGTGCTTGAGGTAATGATGATGTCACTAAAGTCACCCGGAATTGTGTAATTGCTTTTAAGGTTACATACCAAAAACAATTCTGCTCACAGTTTATTAGTCCCTGTTCGGACGCAGTCCAAAAACGGGGACTTATGTTTTGACCTCCGTGCGTGCGTGCGTGCGTGTGTCCGTGCGTGCGTGCGTCTGTGCATGTGTCCGGACCTGTATCTTAGAAATGCCTGGACCAATCACAATCAAACTTCACACATACATCATACATGATAGTATACATATGCACGTCAATTTGTTTTACGATCTGATTCAAGATGGCCGAATGGCGGCTATTTTTGTGCTAAAAATCATCAAAAACAAGCATTTCTCAGCCATTAACAGATGGATTTTGTTCAAACTTGGTATATACATTAGACATTATAGGACCTTGATGCACATCATTTTGTTTTACGATCTGATTCAAGATGGCCGAATAGCGGCCATTTTTGTGCTAAAAAATCATCAAAATCAAGCATTTCTCGGCTGTTTACAGATGGATTTTGTTTAAACTTGGTATATACATTAGACATTATGGGACCTTGATGCAAATAATTTTGTTTTTCAGATAAGATTCAAAATGGCCGACTGGCGGCCACTTTGTTTTAATGAATGTGGTTCTCGTGCCATATCTCTGACTTGCTTTCACTGATTATGTTCAACTTTTAAATTTTCATTATACATCATGTCATATATGGACAGATATATTGGTTTGACGATCCTATTCAAAATGGCCAAATGGTGGCCATTTTTGTGCTAAAAAATCATCAAATATCAAGCATTTAGGGATGGATTTCGTTCAAACTTGGTACATATGTTAGACATTACAGGTTCCTGATGCACATCATTTATTTTTCAGATCGGATTCAAATAGGCTGTCTGGCGGCCATTTTGTTTTAATGATTTGGCTTCTAGAGCCATATCTCTTAAATGCTTTGACTGATTATATTCAAATTTTATATATTCGTTATACATCATGTTATATATATACATGTATTCAAAAAGGCTGATTTCGAATGCTGTTCCAGAGCAATATCTCTCAATATGGACAAGTACTTTTTTGACGATCAGATACAAATGTCAATCATTTTATTGTTAAAAAATCATATTCCTGACATGGTTATATTCCAGCTCAATTACTGTAAACAAAACTATATATCTTAAATTTGATAACTAACGGGGACTGTGCCATGCATGGCTTGTTTGTTCATGTTGTCTAAGTAGTTTTTGGAAATGGTCCAGTGGTCTATGAAAAATGTAACTGATATTTTAATATACAGTAAATTTGAAGAGAGTTAGTGCAGCTAAGTTTTTCTGTAGACAAATTGCCAGCAGATTTGTAAATTCATTTTTGTCAAATGTTGGCTACAAATAACACTGTAATGTGACATTTCATCTGACTGTTTCAATTTCACCACTTTGAGTCAGAAATGATGTATTTTAGGATCAGTTTGAAATGACATAAAACAACCCTGTCTTGATTGCTCACCCACCAACAATACAATGTTGCATCATCATAATTTATACTTGTATCACAGTGATAGTAAGTTCTTTACGTAACACTGTTATCTCAGTTATTAACGGATTCGGCTGATACCCCGCCCATCCTAAACCCCGCCCATGGGCGATGTTTCAAATAGTGGGCGATGTTTTGGTCCACACATTGCCTGACTGAACCAACAAACATTTTTACAGACCCCAATTTTCCCGTCCGACATCTTGTATCGAGCGCGCTATTTCAAATATGACGCTAAAATAATTCACTGTGAAGCCGAAAAGCATTAAAAACTTCAATAAAACCACAGTCCCGTGATAGAGGGACTGTGATAAAACCAATGCTGTAAACGAATTGTTGTTGCGTATTATTACACTCGAATAAAGTCTACGCTTGAAAAGAATGTTATTTAGAAGTTTAAAATATCCAAGCCTTCCTGGTTCGAGCCTCTTGGTTGTTATCAGTAATGTTTAATCTTTGTCTGTATCGCATTCCAGACAAAATGTCGGTAAACAAGAAATGGGCGAACTAAAATGTCTCCTGCGTTTCACATGCGACATGATTATTTATTAAAAAAACACAGAGTTAAGCGATCATGTACGTTCTATAAAGCTACACATAATCTTGTACTGACATGTTTTTTCTCCAAAAAAGACGTTCTCTTTCAGTTAACCCCCAGTTAATAGCTCTTCGCGTTCATGGTATTTGTGAGAGTTGAAAGATTTTTTGAACACATGACAAGTAACTATATTGATTTACGTACGTTACGTCATGTATGTTCTATAAAGCTAACCTTGTACACATAATCTTGTACTGACGTGTTTTTTCTCCAAAAAAGACGTTCTCTTTCAGTTAACCCCCAGTTAATAGCTCTTCGCGTTCATGGTATTTGTGAGAGTTGAAAGATTTTTTGAACACATGACAAGTAACTATATTGATTTACGTACGTTACGTCATGTACGTTCTATAAAGCTAACTTTATACACATAATCTTGTACTGACATGTTTTTTCTCCAAAAAAGACGTTCTCTTTCAGTTAACCCCCAGTTAGCTCTTCGCGTTCATGACATTTGTGAGAGTTGAAAGATTTTTTGAACACATGACAAGTAACTATATTGATTTACGTACGTTACGTCATGTACGTTCTATAAAGCTAACCTTGTACACATAATCTTGTACTGACGTGTTTTTTCTCCAAAAAAGACGTTCTCTTTCAGTTAACCCCCAGTTAGCTCTTCGCGTTCATGGTATTTGTGAGAGTTGAAAGATTTTTTGAACACATGACAAGTAACTATATTGATTTGCGTCAAGCTGGGTGGCTCGAATTTAAATATCAGTGCGTGAACTCAAACGCGTGGTTATTAGAGTTCAGTCGAAATGTACGTGAATATTGCGATCGAAGTGCGCTGTCCAGAGTTTATTATATTATAGTAAAATTTAACTTGACGCATGGTATGGTTTATATTACATGTTCACTTCATTTCGAATAAAAAAATCACCATTGCTAGAGCTAGACTTCACATACGGATTCTGATAGTGATTTCTTTAGCCAATCACAATTAGTTAATTCGGACCAATCATGTCCAAGGCTACTGATAGTTACTGACCAATCCCACATGGGATTAATTTCCGCGCCTTTTACCGAAGGTCAAATATAAGTTTATTTAAAGACAAAGCAAATGTATGTTTTTCAGTAGTCTTTGTTCCCGTCTTCAATAAATGTTGCTGCTCTGTTCTACGTAATTGGTTGTGTTTTTGCATAGTCGTCTGTTGCCGAACCGTCTCCTAAAATACAGTTTTCTCGTACGCTGCATTTTTTGTGCCGAGACCAGGATT